GGTTTATATATGGCAGCAGGAGAAAGGTCTCTTCTCCACTAATAGAGACTTTAAGATGTGATTCTGTGGGTKCTGGGACACTTCTTGTGTATCTGGGGCAATACAGACACAGGAGACCTGAGTTCCCCCACCCAGGTTCTTTCGTTCTTTCTTTTTTTTACGCGAAATGTTGAGCCTTTCCTGTATCTTCTCAAAAGCAGTAGTAAATGCAGATTGCATTTTATGCCTCATGTTGGTACTGTAAAGGCTATTTTGATATGACATCTTTGTCATGACCTTCCTTTCTTCTGAGAATGTAGTTACAAGCCTGTCTTTATAAAAAGCTAAGAAAGGCTCTTTTCTGAGCTTGTCTTTTAAAATAAATGCCCCTTACTGAAGCTCGAAAGATAGCATATTTCATTAATGTGAAGATGAATGAGTATAAAATGTATTATTAACACCCCAGAATACTTAAATCAAGGAAAAGATCATTTATTGTAGATATCTTTAGACATTCTGGTAATGTTCCCATCTTCTTAATGATGAATTCATTTCATTAAAAGCATTCTAATGGAATAGGGTAAATTTTCTATGTGGTACAAAACCTTTCTTTGGCAACAGTGCATACTCACCATGAACACATCGGCACTGCCAGCTAATAGTTTCTTTCTCAGTGCACAACAGCTGTAAACAAAAATGACAGAGGAACACAAGTGATATGTACATGGGCAATATTTCTCTTTTTCTTGAGTAAGTTTTGTGACTAGATCTTAAAGCAAGATGTAACTGTGGAGGTGAACGTATTTGGGATGCTGAATAAGCTGTACAGGAAATACTGTTTAAAATCCTAAATGCAAATTTTCATTTTTTCCTGTTTATTGAGGTACAGTGACYGGTTTTGTAACAATTGCAGCATTCATCATTGAAAGTATGGTGAAAGTCACTTATCTAAACATCTGAATTACCCATAGAAACAGCGTATCTGTAAGCTTTCAATAATTTGATTCATTTTTTTAGTATGGTAGAAAAATCTGAGAGGCAGCAAAGTAGAAGGACACTTGCCAGTAAATCTCTTACAGTGAGGCAGTGATTTGGTCATGGAAAGCCTGACCTATCTGTTTTCTCTTCACTCTGCCCGATCTGTATTCAGGTGAAAAGAGAAGGAACAAGCAAAATTAAATTATCTGAAAAGCACCATGTGGTGGGGATGGCAGCAATTTCTTGTCAATGGAATTAAGAATCCACTAAATCCACCAAATTGTTGGCAGACTGGCTGTAATTTGACTGCAAGGAAACCATAAACAGTCACTCTGCTGTCTTTCAAACCTTTTTTTTTGTTTGTTTGTTTAATTCTATAATGAATCTCCCCAAAGTTTGCCAGAAGATGATACGCCACTCTGGATTTTACCTTCATACCAAAACCCGAAGGTCTGGCTTTTGCAGGATTAACTTGGAGCATTCCCCATCTCTTGAATGAATTTTATCATGTTGTCAAATTTATTTTTCAAAAACAATTTAGAACATGTAGAAATTTCTTGGGGGATTAGTGCCCCATGTTGTCCACATGCTAGCACACTATTCCTGAATGCTTAGGAGAGCAGTTGGTGCCGCTGGACCACGGTCCTTCTGCTGTAGCTTCTGGAGGCTACTCCATGCTCTGTGATAAACCACGTCCAAAGTCATTCTCTCTTCTCCTCCTCTCATATGTAGTGGGTTCCAAGAGAGCTTGGATACAAGCAGTATCCAAACTGAAATATTAAAGGCAATCGGCCAATACTTCGTATCTCCGTAAGGCAACATCTTGCTTCTGGTGATTCTCCACAGTGCATTTGTATATTATTCAGATCCAAAAAACTTCATCGTGCTTGGCTAGTGTGAAGGAGGACAACCTTGCTTCCTTTTCAGAAGAAATGACATAGAAGTTTAAGCTGATATTTACTTTTGTTAGACTTTTTCTTGCACACGGAAGAGCAGGGCTCTGAATCCCTGGTCACTTTCCGACCATCATTTCCAGATTTTTAGGCAACACTTGCCTATTCCTGTGTAGAAATTACAACAGAAATCTGTAGTTTCTAACATTCTATATATGTGTTCAATGCCTTGTTTTCAATCTACTTTTTAATCAGCGTGCTTAAGGAGTATAGAAGCACATAAATTAAATTTTACACTTATTTATGACTACAAATGCACATGCAACATGCAATGTTTCCTACCTACTAGTGTAATCATTATAATGAACAATGGAAATTGAAAGCATAATTGAATTCTATGCAATTTCATTTTAACCTACATGTAATTTTTTATGCTTATATTTGCAGCTGTCATCTCATAAATGACACACAATCTGCTAGTATTTTGTACATCTTTACCTACAGTGCACTACAGAATTGAAGTAACTCTTTTTATATATAAAAGGCCAATTTAAATCTAATTATCCCCATACTCTACAGTCTCTAATAATAACACAGCGTTTATACCATTATTGTGGAATACTGCAGCATTGGAATCATAGAAGCCACTAGATGTTAGCTCCGTGAGGGGGTTGGCATGTGCTTTTTCAAACGTTTTTCCTGAAGAAAGCTTTTTCTGAGACAAGATCCTTTTTCAGCCCCTTCACACCTATTTAAAATACCAGGACAATGTTACTGGAGTGTAAAGGTTGAAGGCTCTGTAGCAACGCTCCGAGCATTCGTGCATGTCCCATTACAGGTAGTGACCTCGAACTGCACTAGGAATCTGCTGAGGGTTCTTCCTGTGATTTTTTCCTTGTTTTAAGTACATGGAAGTGTAACACTTCAAATAGGTTCTTTTCATATATTTTCAAAATACATCTCCAAAACTGGAAGCAAATAAATTACAACATTTGCCTTAATTTTTAATTAGCTGAAAGTCATCACTGCAAATTGTGTCTTCCATAACAAAACAAAATAGTCAACTGCCAGGCCTGAAATAATTAAGCAATATATTATAATTAAGCAATTTAATTTTGATTTAATTATGATATATCATACAATTTTTCTTCTGATTTAGCTGACATTCATTGACAAAATGCTGTAATATAAAACAACACTGATGTTTATAGCTGATGGCTCTGCATGTTTTGCTTCATGGTATTTGGCATTCATCACAGCATATGGAAAAAGTCTCCTAATCTGAAATAGCTGGCACATTATTTCATAGTCCACAAATTACGCAGTCCATGTTTTCCCTATTGTTACTGTGGGAGGCGAGTGGGGAAATCTTTGCAGACATTGAACCTGAGCCAGAGTTCATGGGTATTAACTGGAATCTTTCCATCGACTTCAGTCTGCTTTAGATAGTGAACTACCCCCGTGTTGTTACAGGCAAACAGATAAGGCCACGTGCTTATGAAATATTTATGGAGCTGGAGCACGTACGTATTATGTGTCAACATCAACATGATTTTATATGAGGTTTGAGAYTGGGAGGGCGAAGGCAGAAGTGACAGGCAGGCAGGGAAGACAGCTTCGTTCGGTGCTGTGGCAAAAAAAATTGCAATTAAACAACCACCAAATTGCTTCTTCAGAACAAGGCCAGGCCCCTGTTTGGCAAAAATCGTTTTCATAGAGCGAAGGGTGCCACGGAATGGCATCTACTCTGGAAGTCACTTACACATGTGTCCCTTTCTAATGACAAGGGAGGACTGGATGACTTCAGAAGGTTGATTCTGCCCAGGGTCAGGTATGTGCTCKCAGGCTGCCCAGCTGCAGCCTCAGGGGAGGAAGGTTGAAGGACGAAAAGCCAACCTTCATTTTGACTTAGTGATTTGAGCACTCTCAGCCACATCCATGAAAGCGGTCACAGAAGGCCAGAGAGCTCATGATTCATCACGTTGTACACAGGCAGATGCTCTTATGCCCCTTTAATTTTGATGTTTTGCAGTGTTTTTTTCATGTGATGATGTTCAAATTTCTCAGCTTTGACAGGTCGAAGGCCAAGCTTCCTTTGGGACTGAGAGCAATTGTGTACTCAGAACAATAATGAATGTTTGCTGTCTCTCAAACTCTTTCTCTCTTCGTTTTTCTGAAAAAAATAAATAGCATGACTGTTCAGATCAGAGATATTTAGGATGCAGCAGAAAATCAAAACAATGTATTCAAAACCAATGTAAACATTTCAGCCGACCTTCTTGTGATAGGGAAATTGCACGGCGCTTCTCATCTCCACCTCCACCCCGCTGGCCCCAAATTCATTGTTTTTTACTGAAAGTTCAAGGAAAGGTTTTGCAAAGTGCCCATTGAACAACATTAAATCAAAAAGATGCTGGTGTGGGATTCTATTTGTGTCAGTCTTCCTCATTCTTCAATATGGCAGCATTTAGAGATCCTACAGATGTAGATAGCTTCGCAAATACACCAATGAGACCTGTGAATAATTTAACAGAATATTGTGTGTAGCAAATGTCACAGAAAGTAACCAGAAGGAAAATTGCCTTCAATAAGTGAAGATAAAAATGGATGCAAATCAATTTCTGTTTAATGTACAGCTCACTTAAATTGGAAACAATATTTTATTACTTTGACAGGAAAGTTGGAAGTGTTTTTATTATATCCTTATCACTTCATTTATTTTATATAGAAACTTTGGATTTGGATCTGCTCTTCTGTAACTCTCATAGATAAATAAGCCTGTAAATACAATGTGAAATTTGCACATAAAGAGCAGTTGTCAGGCAATTTACTCCTACTTTCAATATTGAAGAGCAAAAGGTAGATCTACATGAGAGTTTTATAGGAATTTTGAGGTTTGAAATTCAGCAGTTTAAAATTCAGCACTATAGGAGAACTGTAAGCAATAAAACTATTGTGGCTGAAATTAACCCTACAAAAGACTTTTCCCTCTGGTCTAATAAATATTGTATGAAGAACGTGAAGCAATATGCTGATGCAGTTATATTTACCCAGGAAGCATGAGCACTGAGTGATAGGCTGCCTAGTTAGTATTTTATTGATATGAGAACCATTTTGATGATCTCAACTTTATTTTTTTTCCTCCAACAGCTAACCCAAGGGTTAAAATGGTGAGTGAAAGTCATCATGAGGCCCTGGCGGCACCGCCAGCTACCACGGTAGCAGCAGCCCCTCCGAGCAATGTTACCGAGCCAGCCAGTCCGGGGGGAGGCGGTGGAAAAGAAGATGCATTTTCTAAGTTAAAAGAGAAGTTCATGAATGAGCTGAATAAAATTCCACGTAAGTAAAATTTGCTTAATTAAAAAGCTTCTGCCGGGGTAGTAGATTTAACTTGGGATTTTCTGCTTTGTTGTTTGTCCAGAGAGCATGCTAAATGCTTTCAAGTCAGAAGTTTTCATTTTTATAAGGTTAACATTTGTAGAAAAGAATGATGTATGACTGGCTATGACAGATAACAAATTAGAATATTAGTTGATTTTTTATCTCTGGAGCAGATCTTGGCAATGTGGCAGATGAAGTTTTTGCAAAATTGATAGCAAGCAGCTTTGCTCTGTCACTCAAAATTCTCACTGGCAAGAAGAGAGGTGTTAGAGTATTAAGAAGCCTGTATGTCATTAGCTTGGTGATCTGCACAGTCCACTGCAGATCATATTCAGGTGAAATTGCTTGATGGGATCAACAAAACTACCAGAAGAGAATGGGAGAGAAAACAAGCCAAGATCTAGAGGGAGAAATGGTCAGCATTTGAAACATTGAATCTTTTAATTCATAGCTCAGTGTGTGATGTGAATGATACAGATAGCACTTGCAGATATCCCTTTATTTTTCAGCTTTGATTTTAACATAACAAAGGTGTAAATGGATTGCACTGTGTGAAACTGTGGTTGGTAGGTCTGGGAAAAGGTCTGAAGATGGAGATGAATTTTAAATTCCCTGTCACATCCTCTTCTAAACAATGATGAACACAAGTGGAAAGTTCAGTTTTGAGAATCTTTCCAAATAAGACTTTGGTTTGTGCAAAAGGTGAACCTTCTATTATGTAACAATAAATACTTGCTCAGGAAAGTGCACTTAGTGGATCATAGAACTGTATTATGAAATATACTTTAACAATTATAAAATGTGGTATGTTACACTGATAGAGCATGTGACAGCTCCCCTTTTTTCACTTGGAGAAAGTTCTTTTCAGCATCATGTTAAACAAAACAGCAATCTGCATCCTCAGAGCAATGTGATGCATCCAAATAACCCAACCAAAACAACTATCCTCATTCTGTTATGCCTCAAGGCAGAATTAATTGAGTAGCTTGATCATTTTCATCACACAAGATTATTTCTTCTATTAGTTTATTCTCCTGCCTATAATAATCCCCCCTGTTTTGGCAGAGAGCCCAGTGTAGTCTCTTAAAGTTTTCACCAGATCAGTGTTTCGGAAGACAAGTCCCAAATGTCTTAAATCTTGGCCCCTCACTGGGTGCCCTGATTGCTTCTTGCAGTTTATGCTTCTCACTTTTCATTTCAGTAACAACAGAGCTTCATCTGCAACCCAACAGTGCTCATTTCCACTCATATCTCTCGTTCCAGCTTTGCAATAGAGGCTACTCCTAACTGTTCAAAATACAGTTGGCAAACTCCACATTTCAAAATAGTTCTTGTTTGCAGTGTGCAGTTATTGTTTGGAAACAAATATTCTGTTGATAATTTGGAGAATCTTATGTCCCAAATATCTTCTGCTTTCCCTTTGGAGAGCGATAAGCTCTCCATGTATGAACCCCAACAGAACAGCCTAAATAAGTTTGTTCTCAAAAAAAAAAAAAAAAAACTGTCCCTCACACTGCTCACAGCAAATTTGGGAGAATCTCTCTTAAAACAAAATCAGAATGTTCCAAGCAGTCCCCTTTATAGGCAATTTCTGATTGCCTATCCTTTCCAGATGAAGTTTCTGGTCTTATGACAGTGGAAAGAGCAGAGTGATGGTGAATAGTCTCCCTTTAGGTGGCACATTTCCTCAGCTCTAAAAATTCCTGTGCCATGTGGAAGACCATGGACTAAGCTTTTGCTGGAGTAGAGTCAAACTGGAGGCTTGACCTTGAGTCTTACACGTGCCAGAGGAATGCCCACAGGGAGCAAGTTCTCCCATCTTTGCAGATGGGGCACAAGCATGTTTTCTGTCACATGGATGCTTTCATTATTAACTTCCAAAAGTGCCCTGTTCATCAACACGTCAGAAAGGCTTTGAAAGTTCAGTAGCTACTGAGAGAGGAATTTTTTTCAGTGCTCTTTTGTCTAAATGCAATACAGTCTTAATTAAAAGGAATATTGCTGTCTTAGTTGCCTGTGCCTAAAATGTCTGCAGATGGAAAATAAGCTATGGAAAATAACCATGATTTAATGGATGCATAGTATAACAGGATATAATGTATCCATACTGGTAAAAAGCTCACCAGTAATCAAATTTGATAGAGTGATTAAAAAAAAAAAAAAGCTTTATACAAAATGGCATTTGTATACAGTCTCCTCATTAAAACTTTCCACAGAAGACCCATGATAGCAAGTTATACTTGGGCTAAAAGTTTTTCAGTACTGAAATCTAGGAGGCAAAAATAGAGGTACATCATACTATGTCCATGCTATGTCCAGCTGAATAGATGCTGCTCCTTCAGTGTGGTTTAGAATAGGATAGCCATCTTTTTAAAATGATATATTTTGTAGAACGTGTAAAGATCACAAGTTAAATAGGCTAGACAACTAACTAAATATGTCAGGATCCCTATTAACATTTCTCTTTGCAAAAATCCAAAATAGGGTCTGTACAGTTAAAATAGCACTTATGTTTCCTCCTGTAGAGTATGCAGCACAGAAACCTTGCTTTTATCAGAAACAGATGACTTTTGAAAAAGGTGAAGTTTCAAGAAAAGTAGAAATGCCATTTGTAGTAGTATACATTTCTAACAGTAATGATGACATATGTAAATCCTGTTAAAATTTGGATACATTCAAGCAGAAGTTGCTGCATTTCATTGTTTTGCTTCTCTCTAAAGAAGGTGAGCTGCATTTTGGGTCAGAAGAGTGTAGACTTTGGAAAACACATAGATCATTGAGAACAGATCATTTGGTTCCTTCCTACTCTAGGAACCAAAGGAACTGGGGTTGTTTTGTTGCAATGAGCCACACAATTAAAGAGCAAGATTCCTATAAGGCTGCTGAAGCAAAACTGAAGATTTTTTTCTCAGATCCGTAAATCCCTGATTTTGGTTGTGAGAGGCTGATCTGCATGATCGCAGTACAGTTGTTTTTCAATAACTGCACTGTGTCTAAGTCACTGTGTCTTAATTGGTTCTTCTCTACTGTCTATCCCAATTTATCTCTAATCTGCAGAATTTTTAAATTGTTTGCCAAAGGGAGAAAAAAAGACCCCCACCTCAGCATTTGCATTTTTCATTTTAAATGTGTTCTGTCACCTTACTTCCAACATGTTAAGAAGCGAGTAAAATGGAACTTAAAGATTTGAAATTGAAATTTAATTTAAAGTCTTTTAAAGACTTTTTTAGTCTTTCCTTCCTGTCACTGCTTTTTCTGTCTGGATCCTTGTCTACAGGCTAGCATTATTCTCTTTTTTTTTTCAGAATCTGCCATATATTCACAATAAGCTTCTGCATGAGTATGGGAATTCAAGACAGCCACAGATTTTGGGCTGCAGCAACAGCTTTTGGGTTGAGGCTTTAAATGCGAGAGTAACGATAATAACTGTACAGAGATTAAACTTAACATTAATCAACATTAATTTACTTAATAAGTGTTTTGTAAAATCAAAGTGATCTTGATATATTTCCTAAAAATACATTTCTATACAAACAGCTGACCTTGTTCCACCTACACCGTAAACAGAGTGCTCTGCCAGTACAATCSCTGCACAGCTCTGACAGATTAATAATACTCTGCTAGTGCTTGCAGTGCACTTTTGAATAGCTGTAATATCTGAATGCTTTCAATCCAGGATACTAGTGCTAGCTCATTAATAGGAAGTTATTGCATATTTATAATGCTTTTTGCTGTCCCAATTGGATAAGAAGGTCTGATTTTTCACCAGCCTTATTCTGAAATGTTTGGCTGGCCTGCRGCTCCACTTGGCCTCCGTAGCTGCTGCTCAAAACCCCTAGGTTTGATTTTCATCCTGCACGGCAGACAGACAGTCCTCAAAGCAGATGCTTAAACATGGGTCGTGACTCAGGCTAAAAATCTATGTTCTGTTTAGACTTGCTTCACGTCCAATTTTCAGCTGTGCAGACAAAGGCTTATTAACCTCTCCTGGGCTTAGTGAGTAACTCTCAAAACAAAATGGGGCTGGAGGGTAGAGAGGAAATAGAAATATATAAATAATCATAGGAGAGCAAAAGCAAACAGTAAGAATCATGTCTGGGTTAATTCTGAGTAACAGCTCAGTAAATCAAAGTGCAGGCTCGTATCTTTCAGGCTGTATATCTATATTTGGGTAAATTAGCAAATAAAGTAATCCTTGATTTATATGCTCAGCCATTTAGGTTAAAGCTTCAGGTCTTGCTTAGCCTGCAGCTATCAGTATGGACACAATTCATCATTTATTTCCTCCTGCTGATCTTCCCTCTTCCACCCTTCTGCCTTTCTTTCTTGACCAGTTGAGGTTGTATTAAGAGTTCTTATTACACTCTTTTGTTAGCAATAAAATTAATGCATTAATTTTCATTTTTTATTTGGCATCAACATTCAGGGTTTGGGTAATATTGTTTCATGTCTGTGATTGGAAAATTGAAGATTTTGTGCACAGGATCTTTCTGAAATCTAGTTCCTATGGAACTGGCCATTTGATGATGTGCAGAAAGTGAATTAAGACTCTACATTGTACTGTTTTTCCTTTGGTTTCTACAATACTGGCACTGGCACAGGAAAAGGAAGACAGGTTCTTCTCTAAGTTCACAGGAGTAAAATACTGCTGAGGGAATCCTTCCATTAACTTGATTAATAGAGAAATACAGAAAATCAGAGTAAAATTCTCAGCAATAGCTGTTATTTATATAAGCACAGCACATACTGTGATACTTGCTGCTCATGTCAGTCAAATACATGCAGCTTTTGCACTGGGAAAGAAACACAGGTAATTAGAAGCAAGGATTTGTTTTGCAACACAGAATAGATACAAGAAAGATATTACAGTACAATGCAGTACAATACARTGCAGTACAGTATAGGGAAAAAAAAGTCAGTATTTCTAACTACAGCACTATAAGTGCGAAACACAGATT